GAGTGGTAGTTGTCTCTACTGGAGTGGTAGCTGTCGCATCTGGAGTGGTAGTAGTCAGTACTGGAGTGGTAGTTGTCGCTATTGGAGTGGTTGTTGTTGCATCTGGAGTGGTAGTTGTCGATACTGGAGTGGTAGTAGTCAATACTGGAGTGGTTGTTGTCTCTATTGGAGTGGTAGTTGTCACATCTGGAGTGGTAGTAGTCAATACTGGAGACGTAGTTGTCGCTATTGGAGTGGTAATTGTCGCTATTTGAGTAGTTGTTGTCGCTACTGGAGTGGTAGTTGTCGCATCTGGAGTGGTAGTAGTCAATACTGGAGACGTAGTTGTCGCTTTTGGAGTGGTAATTGTCACTATTTGAGTAGTTGTTGTCGCTACTGGAGTGGTAGTTGTCGCATCTGCAGTGATAGTAGTCAATACTGGAGTGGTTGTTGTCTCTATTGGAGTGGTAGTTGTCACATCTGGAGTGGTAGTAGTCAATACTGGAGTAATTGTTGTCGTTACTGGAGTGGTAGTTGTCGATATTTGAGTGTTAGTTGTCGCTACTGGAGTGGTTGTTGTCGCATCTGCAGTGGTAGTAGTCAATACTGGAGTGGTAGTAGTCAATACCGGAGTGGTTGTTGTCTCTATTGGAGTGGTAGTTGTCACATCTGGAGTGGTAGTAGGCAATACTGGAGTGGTAGTTGTCGCTATTGGAGTGATAATTGTCGCTATTTGCGTAGTTGTTGTCGCTACTGGAGTGGTAGTTGTCGCATCTGGAGTGGTAGTAGTCGCTTCTGGAGTGGTAGTAGTCAATACTGGAGTGGCAGTTGTCGCTATTGGAGTGGTAGTTGTCGCATCTGGAGTGGTAGTAGTCAATACTGGAGTCGTAGTTGTCGCTATTGGAGTGGTAATTGTCGCTATTTGAGTAGTTGTTGTCGCTACTGGAGTGGTAGTTGTCGCATCTGGAGTGATAGTAGTCGCCTCTGGAGTGGTAGTAGTCAATACTGGAGTGGTAGTTGTCGCTATTGGAGTGGTAGCTGTCGCATCTGGAGTGGTAGTAGTCAATACTGGAGTGGTAGTAGTCAATACTGGAGTGTTTGTTA